TCTTTCCCTCCCCATGCCGTAGAGGAGGATCTTTAATGATTAAACATGTATATAAAATATTTTGCAAATAAATATTTACAGAGATTTATAGAGCCGAAAATATTTATTTACAGTCTTTGATTCCAGAGTGCACAATTTTGTCACGTTCTCATAGTGGAAAATAAAAATATACAGTATGTTTTGTATAACTATCATGCTCCATCTGGTTGATGGATGATGATGTATTTTTCTGTATAATGTTATTAGAAGGGTAGAACTGATTAGAATTTGTAGGGAACTATATGCCAGGCATACATAATTTGATTGTGAGAAGTTGCTCGGTTTTGCCAGATTTTGTAAGGCCTCCTCGGGAATATATTACTTGCCTTCCTCCGTTATTTATTGCCTTTTTTTAAGGAGGACTTATGGAGCTGTTAGTGGTGTTTGGTTTTTGCCTGGCATTTGGTGCCACCGTTCGTGTATCTCAGAATGATTTGCTCAGGCCCCCCAGTGTCGGGTTTCTTGATGTCCTTTTGCTTTCTAAATCCAACCCTCCCGTAGCATACATCCGAAGTAAGGAGGCCAGAAGCAGGCCGTTGTTCCTCTCTGTCTCCACGTTCATCACATGGCGTTTATGGCTTTCCAAAGCCCCCCATGTCCTGCCGTTCATAGTGATGCTTTGCACTAGCTGCCCAGTAATGACACGCTCTTGAGCTTAATTATTCCAAGGGTTGGCAGTGATTCTCCTCCTCGTGTTATTTTTTGCTTAGGAGCAGCGCGAACCACCCATGTTAGGAGACTTAAGGCTAATTAGTTTGGGTTTATAATCTGTAGCTAGGCAGCGGTGATTGCTTTAAAAGACCGTCCCATTCAGGCCAACCGGGACTGTTCGTGCAAACAGGCTGAGCCACGTTTGACCCTTTCTCCCTGACTTAATGAGGAACGTCGCATCTCACCTCGTTCGGTTTGTCAGTTTGGGGAGAAAAGAAAAAAAAAAAAAAAAAACGGGGAAAGGCAGGAACGCGACCGTGGTCGGGGAGGCAGCCGCGATGCTGGCAATGCTTCGGCGAACCTCCGAGCGGGCCTCTCGCCCCGGCCGGGGCTTTTCAGCAGCTGAGGAAAACTGGAGCTCTTGAATAATGACAGAAGGCAAATGTCACGATCCAACGGCTGCCGCACATCAGCTGCTGAGTCCTAAATGGCCGTATCGCGAGTTTCGCCGCAAAAAAAATAAGGTCCTGGGGACGTGGTGTGGAAAAGCGACGTCTTCTGCCTTGCCCCGCGTGTTAAGCGAGTCCCTCCGTCTCCCGCCCAGACCCGCGGCCAGGCATGGCAGCGGGCAGCGGTGCGAAATGCAGAGGGAAAGTAGTAATTACTGCTGAGTCCGCAAAGAGTATTGTCGGAAAATAGCTTCTAACAATAAGGTCCGTCTCGGGCAAGCTTGTTTAGTTTTCAGGGTTTGCAGGGTGGTTTCGCTGGGTGTTTGGCAGTGGAAGGGCGAGCAGTGTGGACGCGTTGAACGGGACCTACCTCCCCCTGCCCTGAAAGGCAAGTCTGGTGCACGCACCACCCAGACGTGGAGGCTGGCCATAAAGTCACGTGAAACCAGCTACCAGACCCCCACAAACAGCCTGATATGCAAGGCCCTCTTTGCGTTTTATGCCCCAATGGCAGCCGATGGTTATTTATTGGCTATATTTAATAGGTCCTGGGGGTAGTTTAGTATTTGATTTCTCCTCATGCAGAAGATAGAGCCAAGTCTTTGTAGTTCATATTGCTTGGGCAATGCTTTGGGTGAACAGCGAGCGGCAAGCCCAGCGCTGAACACCCTTGCGTGACTTTGGAAGAAATAGCCGAATTCTTCCTGCTGCGTCTCAGGCGCCCGAGATGAGCAGCGTTGGGTAGCGCTTGGCCTGGTGGCTTCCCCTTTCCAAGGGGCTCATCTACGTGGCTCATCAGGCCTGCGATTTGGTCTTTAAGGGAAGAGAAGCCCTGTGTGGGACTTGTCCCGTTAGTGGTTTTACATCTCGGCGTCGGAGCTGGCAGGTTGCCCGCGTTTTGGTGCTTTCTTCCAAATTTGCACTTTTAATGAGGTGTGACTTCAGTGGGTTCAAAGTTGCAGCTCTTCCGCGATGACCCCAGAAAGACTTTTTAAAATCCCCGCTAGCTCAGAGGCAGCCCCGGGGCCCGAGCGTCGCAGAGGGCTTCGCAGGAGGGCAGTTTGTCTATTCAAGCAAACGAAGGGGCCTTCTGCCCAGCGCACAGAAAGGCAAAAAAGCCCCCGTGTCGCTTTGACAAGCCTTGGGCTCTGGCGTCCCTCCGCGAAGTGAGGCAGGAGAGCCGGCACACTTTTCTCTGCATTTTTGAATTTATTCGTATTTTGACTTCTCCGGATCGGGGAGGTTCAGGGCAGGGTGCATCTTCTCAGCAGCAGATTTCTTTTCTGCACCTGTTGCCACAGACCCTTGAGCCCGTTGCAAAGCCCGTTGGAAAGGGGGAAAAAAACCCCTCAGCCTGCACGTTACCACTACCATTTGCAAGGTTCGCGATTTCTTCCAGCACCATAAATTCATACCTACAGTTCCCAGCACTTATTGAATTATGCAATTCCATCAGACGTTCAGTGTAAAACTGGGGGGTTTTTTTTACGCTTTCTTAGCCCTCTCCATGTAAGTGGAGCTGTAATTTGCGGTGTCGCAAACAAGACAAGAGATTATTATTTTAAGCATCGTGCGAAACTTTCTGAGAATTTATATTCATCTGTCTTGTTGCCTGTCACTTCCATTTTGTCTTCCTGTCACCCGGAATGAACCAGGGATGGAAATGTAATTTCCCAGGGTCCTTAAAAACTGAGGGAGTATTAAATGCAGTCGAAATTAAGCGATTAATAATTTAGTTTTAGGCCATGAATCAACTTCATGTGATACGGAAGACCAAACGCAACCCTTGAAGCCCTTAGAGGAAATAAAACGCTCTGGAGGTTTCGGGGGATACAATCCTTAGAAGAGGAAGTTGCCAAAGAAATTAAATCGCGGCCTTCTGGCATCAAAAACATACTTCCGGTTTGCACCGAATTTGCCCAGAGCTTCTTGACCGCGAACGAACCTGCTCACCAGTTGACGGGCAGCTGGCGTGGCATCATAGCTGGAGAGAAAAGGCTAGCGTAAAGCTAGGAAGCTAAATGCCTGCTCATCAGACCCCCCACCACCACCACCAAAAAAAAAGATAGAGATATATATATATATGTGTATATAGTCACCAGCACGATGCCAAATGGGGCTCATAATTCAGCGTTTCGGTGGACACGCAGCGCAGTGTTTCCCGTCCCCCTCCGCCCCGGGGGCGCGTTGGCGCGCGCGGTTGCCTCTGCCCGCGGGTGCCCTGGGCGCGGGACCTGAACGTCTCCTGTCCCCTGTGTTTCATTGCAGGTGTTGGCTCCGGCTGGACACCTACTTCATTTGGAGCTTTATAGGACCGGCGACCTTGATCATTATGGTAAGCGCTCCTCGTTCGCCGGCCCGTCTCCCCCGGCCAAGGACCACAGCCTGACTCTCTCCCTGTCCCTGTATCTTTTGCAGAGTGCATCAAACTCTCTTTTATTTTTTTTTTCCCCTCCCAACTTCGCATTGTAACAAGCATCCTCCGCGGTAACGAACTCCCTGCCCACCCCCTGCCTTGCACCGCATTTAAGAGGTGCATTTAGGGCAAAAAAAAAAAAAGAGGGTGCTTTCTCCATTCATTTCAATGGCGCCAGCTAAACGGGACGCTTGCAATGACGTGTGCTGCTCGGACGCAGAAGGGCGGTTGCAGCAAACGTTTGCAGTTCTCCGTGACGCCGTTTGAAGCGCGGCCGCCCATGCAGGCACCAGCCCCGTGTCGGTCGCGTGCGCAGCCCCTCGGCCTTGGTAGCGCCGTGGCATCGCAAGCCCGCTCGCCCTTGTCCCCCACACACACACCCCATAAAACCGTAGGGAGAGCTGATTTCCTGGCGTAACTCATCTCTTTTTTGGGGAAGAGCCCGACTTTCTCCCTATCGCGTTGTGCTGTGCCGTGTCACCATTTTTTTGCTTTTTTCTCTCTCTCCCCCCGCTCCCCCCTTGCAGCTGAATGTAATCTTCCTTGGGATCGCGCTCTATAAAATGTTTCATCACACTGCCATACTGAAACCTGAATCCGGATGTCTTGACAATATCAAGTAAGTGGTTATCCTTTCTTGCTGTCCCCCCGGCCTTTCCTTCTTTCTTCTTCTTGGGCTGTTTATGCCCCTCTCTGAGGAGCGCTTGGGGTAACCCGACCGGGCTCTCGTCCAGCTTCGCGCGACGCCGCGGTGGCGTTGGCCGGTCAGGCCTTCGTGAAGGAAAGCAAAGTTGCCCTTGCCGTCCTGGAGGCCGGCTCGTCCCCTTACGTGGGAATTACGGGGCGCTTCTTGCCGCAGGCGCCGCAGCCTGACTCGCTCCCTGTGCGTTTTCCGTCCCTGCCGGATTTAATGGCCGAGGGTTTACTGGAAGGTGGTTAGTGTCAGCGAGAGGTCCCAGGGGCTGACGGCGTTAGAGGACGTGCTCTGCCAGCAAGGCGC